CCCCCGCAAAGCCAACACCACAGCCACCGCCCACCAGCACAGCCACCAGCACCGTGCTCTACAGGGGTGCAAGCCCTGTCCACCGAATTGCTGGTGGCTGGGCGGCAATATCACAATATGGACAACGGTACTTGTCATGATCGGCGAACTGGGGGTGGTATGGCTCAGCATGATGATTGTCCACTACTGCAGCCAGGGCGCTTCGACAGGCGGGCTGGCGGAAATGGTATGTTCTGTTCACCCAGACCAATTGCTTATACATGTATCTGTTCTCGTGTGTCTGAAGGCACTGTATGCGATGCTCAGGGTGCCGTGAAGGAGTGTTTGAAGAAGAAATTCGACAAGAATGACCTCCGCATGAAGTTCGCCGCCGAACTGGGCCTCCTCGTGCTGAAGATCAATCACAGACATGGCTACAAGCACAAGGACTTATACGAGAAGATGGTGGGGCTGTCGTGGAAAAAGGTCGCCCTGAGGGGTGTCCAATACTGGGTGGGCATAGCAACGACACAGAGGAAGGTTCGGTGAGTGAAAGGTGATGACTCCATTCTCTTGTTCAGATGGAAATCACAGCGGCCTCGCTGCCTCGCTGCCTCTTAAGATCGACGTGCACAGGGAGCATTCAAGACCCGATCACTCCCTCAGGTGGCCATGCTAGCGAGGGCCGGGAAAGGGGCAGTGTGTGTGAGGTGATGCTTGGATGTACGTATGTGCCGGCGACGCTGACGCGTGTTGGACTGGTGTGGATGGGTGTGCGGGAGGGGGGAAGTGGTGTAGGGGGAAGTGGTGTGTGACGGACGAGAGAGAGAGAGAGTGAGTGCCTTGATCAGATGCGACGGGATGGACACCATCTGTCAACGTCATGTATGTCCGATACTGTGTGTGGGCATTCATGCCATGTCAGTGAGTCATCCATCCGTCCATGTAAGCATTCAAAACAGCCAAACAGACCATCGCCTCAGACAGTCAGACACACACACCAGCCATCAAACAACCGCTTCGCCACTCGCCCGCCTCCCACCCTGGCTGGCCGCTCGGTAGTCTCCCAAGCACCAGCCAAGGTGAAGAGGTGCGAGGCTAAGAAGCCGCTTGAAAGCTCGGTGTTGGTGTGTACGGGGGAATCAGGGTCATCATATGTTGGATGGGTACATCATGACTCGGACAGGTGCACCGAATGACTTGGGCGGAAGGGCCGAGGTGAAGCGGGCACGGACCACACCGCTGTTGCCGTGCGGACGACGCACCTTGCCCCATATCGCCTAGCGCACAGACACACCAAAACACGCGTTGAGAGAACCGTGCCTGTGTGCGTGCCTTGTGCTCGTGTGCCTCACTCCCCTCCTCCCTCGCTCTGCCCGTGCCGTGCCGTGCATTCTTAGATCCGTACGCACCCTGAAGCGTGATCCCTTGACCATCTTCTTGGCCTTGTAGACGTAGGCCACCCGTTTGCCGAGGTACCAGTTGGCGTCGTCGCGCGTGTTGACGCCCTGGATCTTCAAGAGGGTGCTGTTGGGGTCCTGATTCACCTTACTCCTGTCCACAGACAGACACACACAAACACACACCAACAAACAGACAGGCGCAACGCAAACACGCAGTCAGTCACTCAGTCAGCGGAAGATCCCGCCGATTTCTCCCTCCCCTCCCCTCTCTGACTGTCTGTCTGTCTGATGCGTGTGCACCGGCGATCTGCCTGCCTGCCTCCTGCTGGCCGACAAATGAGCTGCGAGTGCGTCACTCACCTCTTGTATCCCAGCACGACGCCCTTCTGGTACAGCCGGACGGGCTGTTTACCCTGCTTCTTGATGCTCTTCCTCACCTTCTCCTCAGCCATCTCAAACCACCGGACGGCGAATCACCGATCTTCTCTCTGAGCTTGCAGTTCAGTTTCGCGATTGACCCTTAACCGACCGACCGACCGACAGAGGCCGTGTTGCTTTCAGTTGCCGTGGAGTATCGACAGGTGGGCAGCGACCACATTCCTGCAGTGCAGTGCAGTGCCCGTGGAGGAAGAATGAAAAACTGCGCTTTCTGTTGATTGTGGTTGCCGTCAGACACGTACGTACATCTACGATTGCAAGATGATGGTGCACCCGCGTCAGGCGCGTGACTGGGCCAGGTTTGTAGGCAGGCCCAGAGGATACCCTGGAGAAGTCGACATACTGGTCAGCCCAGCTGCCGAGATGGATAGTCTCTTTGAAAGCACTCACTCTGTCAGACAGACGGATGCAGAGCAGAGCACCTCTCTCTGCGTGTGTCGTGTGTTGTGTGCTTCCAGCTCGACCCGCAGGACACACACAGCCCACGCAAGGGATTCCCGCCCTTGAGTGAGTGAGCTGAGCCTCCCGCTGGCGTGCGGGGCAAGCACACGACACAACAGCAGTTCATCCATCCATCTCTGCGCTATGAACCGTTCGTTTGTTGTGGTGCGCATTGTATTGTGTCGTGTGTGGTGTGGTAGGTGACGAAGACGCGACGCACTTCGCTGAATGGCTGCAGCGTCCCGCGAACTACCAAACGATGATGTCCCCGGGTGGGTCGGTGGAGGGCCACAAATTTCCGCGCACGATGACTCACTGGTTCCACCGTCTTCTGATGTGATGTGATGTGTTGTGTTGTGTTGTGTTGGTGTTAGGCTCATATCTTATCGGTGAGTCGGTTGAGTGTGTTTTGTGTAGCTTGTGGATGGATGTGTGTGTGTGTGTGTGTGTGAAGTCAACATGAACTGCAATAAGGACAAGCGCGAGAGCGGCCCTCACAGCCCTGTCATCGAGAGAGGGCTGCACAACAGCGGAACCATCGCCGTCATGGTACGTGCGTACCCCAGACAGCCGATCGACAAGCCTAGCCTCACCAACCACACGGCACGGCACGGGCACGGCACCACCCCACGACCTGGCTGGCAATCAGCCATCGGCTAGGCTGGCTGCCTACCTCTTGTTTGTTTGTGATGTGCAGAATGCCTTCATTAGCCTAGCGCGCCGTCTTATGGAGCCAGCCCCTCCCCGTCAGATCCACCTCGATATACGCATACTCAAGCTGTACGCACACCCACCGCACCGCACCGAGGGAGGGAGGCGGGACAGGCCAGGCCAGCAGCACACCACCTGTCGCACACACACGCGCGTGTCACGCTCTTGACCTCGTGTCGTCGTGTGTGTCTGTCTGTCTGTGTGTGTGCAGGTATAGGAACCACATTAGCGACACGGGTGCCACGGCCATCGCGGACCTGATCCGTGCCCTGCCCACGGCTTTGGAGGAGCTGCATCTGAGCCACAACCACCTGACGGCCAGGGGCGCCAAGGCCATCATCGAGGCGTTCGACGACGGCCGCAAGAGGGGCCTCTACCCCAAAAACAGGGGCGGCCCATTCCCTGTCTGGCTACGCATGGTGAGGGAGGGAGGGAGGGAGGGAACAGACGGGTGTGAGTAGATTGGATTGATGTGTGTGGACGGGGCTGACCTGACCTGACCGGTCTCTGCTTGCCGTGCGTTTGTAGGAGAACCAGATCACCCCCGGAGGCATCGATGGGCGAGAGCTCAACGAGTTCCTTGTATCCAGGAAAATCACATTCTGTCAGGAAATGTAGGCTGGGCACACACGCCATCCCATTGGTTGAGGGGGGTGCCGGATGGTCTTGCTCTGTCTGTGTGTCTGTGAAGGGGGCGCGACGGGGGGCGCGAGACCTGTGGCACCAAGTTCTGCAAGCACTGGGTGGGCATACAGGGACACCACAGACACACCACAGACACACACACACACACACACACACAGACAGACAGAGAGGGAGAGAGAGATATTGAGCAGTAGAGCGGGCGTGGGGCATTAGTTGGTTGTGTCACCCCTCCCTCCCTCCCTCCCTCCCTCCATTGGTCAGGACACCAGGAGGGGCGAGAGCTGCCCTCTGCTCCACCTGGGCACTAACGCCGAGATGCCACCCAGTGAATACAACTTCACCAGGTGCGGCGCGGTGCGGATGTCAGCCACTCACTCAGTCAGCCAAGCAGATGAGAGAGATGCACATATTTCATACTGAGTGTTATGTGATTGATGACTGGTGCGTGCAGCAGAGCGCTTCGCGGCTCCAGCCGGCCCAGTACTCCAGCTCAGCAGCAGCAACAGCCACACCCCCCGCAGCAGCAGCATCCCTCAGCCAAGGTCCGTCCCTCCCCGTCCCCTGCCAGCCTCCCCCGACTCAACTCACACCCTGTTGGCCATCACAACAACCACCAGCCGCCTCCCCCCGCCCCCTCTGGGCCACCGGCACCTCCCCACCGACCCATGATTCACACGGGCGGCCCTGGCCCCTCCAGGGGCCCCCCCCACCTGCAGCAGCAGCACCAGCAGTATCAGCCTGTGGCCAAGCAGCACCAGGCGTCCACACCGCCCCGCACACCGTCCAACAACAGCACACCGCGGGCGTCTGTGTCGAGCGGCACCAGTAGCAGCCTGGGGGCCGGGCCGTCTGGCACCACCACTGCCAAGGCCCCTGCTGCTGCTGCTGCTGGTGGTCCGCCGCAGGCCAACGGGCAGCAGGGCAGGCCGCAGCAGCAGACACAGCAGTACGTGCCCAAGCAGCAACAGCCGCCGCCGCCGCCCCCCGCCCCGGCGCCTCCCAGACAGCCGGCCCCGCCTCCCCCGAAGCAGCAGGCGCCCGTCCCGGCTCCGCCAAAGGTACCGGCCCCCGCACCTCCGAAGCAGCCGGCACCAAAGGCTCCTGCTGGGAGTGGTGATGGGGGTGCTGGTGTGGGTGTGAGGGGTCGTGTGGAGGGTAAGGGTAAGGCTCAAGGGGGTGGTGGTGGTGAGGAGGCGAAAGCGATGGAGGAGCTCAAGAAGAGCTATGCTATGCTTAAGAAACGGTCAGTGAGTGAGCAATACGGTTGTTACGCGAGGGACACGTGCTGACGTCCATCTGTGTGTGTGTGTGTGTGTTGATATGTCATCCATCAGTTACTTGGAGGGTTTGCAGCAGCTCAAGGTGGTGGATGAGGCGCTCGGCTCCATCGAATGCACCATGTGCATGGACGCGTGAGCAGCACAACACACGACACGACCATGTCAGACAGACAGACAGGCAGGCAGGCAGACAGACACGTGGGGTGTGCACATGACAGACATGTTGTGTGTGCGACTGACTCCCCTTTGTCTGATGTGATGCATACCTACCATGCAGCAAGAGGACCCACGTGATAGCCATGTGTGGACACACGAGTAAGGAAGCCCACACGGGGGGTGGACACACACCACAAGCCGCCGGATGTGTGTGTGTGTGTGTGTGTTTAATGTGCAGTCTGCAGTAGGTGTGCGAGTGAACAGCAGCTGGCAGCTGGAGGGAAGTGCCCCTGGTGCCAAAAGGAAATCTCATTCCTGCATAAGGTCGAGGGGTGGTAGGTAGATGGATGGAGAGGCAGACAGACCAAGGGAGGTTAGCCTGCTGTGGGCGTGGTGGACAGAGACAAGAATTGCCTGCCTGCCTGCCTGGCTGCCCCTAGCTACACATCCACACACACATCCATGGCTGCCTGGTGTGTTGAGTTGTGTGTGTGTGGCGCCTGCTTGCTTCCTGCCCGGCTGTTGGCTGGCGAATTATATTAAGGGGCGGTGCGGTGCGGTGCCATCAGTCGTATGAACGCTGGACGGCTGGCTGGATGGCTGGATGGATGGCATGTGCGTGCGTGCGTGCGTGCGTGCGTTTTTGGATGAGCCTTTCTTTATCTGTGCATAGTCCGAGACCGAGTGAATGAGTGAATGGCGTGTGCGCAACCGAAGGAGCGAATAAAGACTCATTCGGATAACACAACACGTAGGGGGTACGTACGAATGTCTGCCGGTAGGTCCGGTCCGCGCCGCACATGCACGCGTCATGTATGTCATACATGAGGGAGGGAGTATATCCCCGACCATCGGTCCGGTCGACCAACCAACCAACCAACCAACGAACCAGCCAACCAACTCCACTGTTCACTCCACAAACAGAGCGAGCAACCAAGCCATTCAGCCATTCATTCATTCATCATACACCTGTCCATCCGCCCGCCCGCCCGCCTGCCGGCCTGCCTGTTTGTTTGCCGCGTGTGCCCACAGGATGGTTTGTATGGTTATGGTTATGGTCACGGATGCATACATACGTAGTTAGTTAGGTACATTTGGATGGCATGGCCATGGATGGACAAGCTTGCAGCAGCATTAGTCAGTCAGTCAGTCAGTCAGCCAGTCAGTCGCCGTCTGTTTGGTGCGTCTGCGCAGTCAGGTGAGGTCAGGTGAGGTCAGGTCCGGTGATATGTGTAGCTACCCACAATTCGTCCGTCTGTCCGTCAAAAAATGCAAGAGTGCATGCCTGTCTGCCTCCCTGTCTGTCTGTCTGCCATCCCGCTCCTCCGCCCCACATCAATCAATTGAAATCCACAGGCCGGCCAGGCTGTGTTTCCTCGATCGAGGTGAGCTCGAGTGCGAGTGCGAGTAAGAGTGTCTGTCTCTACAGCAGCCAGCACGTGTGTATGGCGGCATGGCGACCTGTACACACAAGACAACACATCCCACTCACTCTACTGGTCGGTGCATCATTCATCAATGGCATGCATGCATGAATGTCGGCCGCTCGCTGCAGAAAGACAGAGAGAGCATTCAAGCACGTCACGTACGCACCCCACCGCACATCGATCGACAATGGGCTGGGTGACGCACAGTCCGTCCGTGTCCGTGTCCGTGTCCGTCCTTCCCCCTTACGCAGCACCAGGCAGGCGTCTAGCCACACCCAACCCATGTATGTATCCCCAACCCCACCCACCCACCCCGTCCAGACGAGCTCAGATAAGCGATGGACAAGGCCGGCCGCATGAACCAGTCCCACTCAACCACCACCACCACCACCCAACACCAGCCGCAGGACACGAAAGGCCGCCGGTCGTCGACCCGCCTCTCTCCCCTCCTTACGCCCACAAGCCCACCCACCCAGTCAGTCAGTCAGTCAGTCTACCCACCGCACTTACACTTACGCAGCCAACCAACAACCATCCAAAAATACCCACCAACCATCCTGCCCATGTGCATGGATTGCTGCAGTGCAGCGTGTGTCCATGTGTGTGCGCGTGTGTGTGTGTGGTTGCTAAGAGACTACTGGTAACTGCCTGCCAGCCTGCCAGCCTGCCATCCTGCCAGCCAGGTGACCCAGCCAACCGGACGGACGACGAGCGGCCGGGCCGAGCTTCAAAGTCTCAGTCGGTCGGTCCGCCTGTCCTGTCAGTGGCTTAGTCGATGTCTGGCTGGGCTATGGCGGCGGAGCGGCGGTCCGCATCTTGCGGAGCGACTCGGACACATGGGGGCTCAGGACCACCTGCAATGCATTCAAGATCAGATCAACACAGACAGGTTAGTAACGACAACGCATACGTATGTAAGTCATGTACACATGCGATGCGATGCGATGCGATGCGATGCGTGTGGTAGAGAGAAAAGTGGTTCCCTCCCTCCCTCCGTCACTTACCCGTTTTCTTTGCGTGGGTGCGTGTGCCTCCACTTCGAGCAGCTTCCGTCTGAAGGCCTCCACCTCCTCGTCCTCACTCTCGCCCTCGCCCTCGCCCTCACCCTCGTCACCGGGCTCGCCATGATCGCCATGGTCAACATGGTGGTCATGGTGGTCATGGTGGTCCCGCTCGTCGCCGCTCTCGTGCGCCAGCTCCCCACTGCCCCCGTTGCTGCTGTTGTCGTCGGTGCTGCGGTTGGCGCTGCTCCCACATGACCCCCCACCTGCCGTGTAGGCGTTGGGCGATCGCTCGTCAGTCTCATTGTGGCTGTGGCTGTGGTTGATGTTGATGTGGTCGTGCAGGCGCTCGTCGGTGAGGGGCGGGGTGTGGGTCTGCGTGGGCGGCGTGGCGGGCATCGTCGACGATGACTCGCTCTTCTTGATCTGCTCCCCCTGCCCCTGCTGCTGTCCACCCCCTCCGCCCTTTTTCTTGCCTCTGCGCGTCTTCTTCTGCGGCTTGTCGGGCGGCGCCTTGGGGGTGTCATGATGGTCGGTGGGTTCGTCAATGGCAGGCCCCTCGATGAAGCGCACGGTGAGGCCGGTGGGGAGGGTGTAGCCGCTGCCGTCCGCCATGGGCGTGGCGTTGAGCCGACGCATCTCGGCTTCGATGGATGTGGCTACAGCTTGAGGCTGGGTGGGGAAGGGCTGCTGCTGCTGCTGGGTGGGGGAGGTCGCCGAGGTCTTGTTGGCCGACTTCTTCTTGCCGCCAGACCTGCAGTGCAGTGCATCCATCCATCCATCCACACAACACACAACAGACAGACAGACACATTGGTGCCCATGAGTGAATGTGTTGCCGTGTGCCGCACTGGTTTGTTTTGACGTACGGATTAGGCTGTGGGCCCCCGGTGTGCTCGATGAAGTCCACCAGCTCGTCAACTGACAAGGCGGCGATGTCCAGCTGCAGCGAATCGTCGCACCGACCAGCAGTGAGGTCGTCCGTGGCGAATGGTGGTCTTGCCGCCTCGACGTGCTGCAGGGTGGCGCCTGGCGGTGGGTTGGCGTCTCGTGGCACCGTCTTGTTGCGCGACTTCCGACGAATCTGCCGAATGCGGCCACGGGCAACGTAATAGCCTCTGCAGACACACAGACAGACAGACATGGATGGAACAAACAGTCAGCTGTGTCGCGGGTGTCTGTTTTGTTCTGTCGTCGGCTGGGCTGTGTGGCTGTGCTGTATTGGCTGGGCTGGGCTGTTTGTGTGTGTACCTTACCTTGGCAGCGCGGCTTCTTCTTCTGGAGTGAAATCGTTCTCTATATGGAAAACCTGCCGGATCTCCTCGGGGGACCGGCCCTGCATCATCTTGGCTATAGCCTATGCACCCGCCACACACACGAGTGAACCACACACACCCACAGCTCCCTCCATGACATGAGCAGATCAGATTTGTATCAGTGTGCTGTGTGTGGTGTACCTTGCAAGTGAGGTCGACAAGTGGGCTGACGCCGAGGTGGAAGGCGGCGCTGGCGAGTTCGCACAGCTCTGGCGAGTCGAGTTTGACAAAGTCCTCGTCCCACCGCCGCTTCTCCTTGTCGCTCAACCCTACACTGTCGCGATGATACCTGCACAACACAACACAACACAGCACAGCACAGCACAGCACACGGACAGGCGGACGCACGCACATACAAAAGCACTTTGGCTTGCAAGAGACATCCATCCATCCAGCCAGCCATTCAGCACTTTACCCACCTGAGGAACTCGATGGCCTTCTGCAGCCCTCTCACGGGCACCGCCAGGTCGACTGGGGCGGGGTTGGTGACTTCAAATGCCATCATGGCGCCCTTGCCCGTCCCTTGTCCGCCTGCTGAGCCCGCGGTGCGTCTCGCCTGCGGCCCGTCCCGCTTGGATGACTGCCACGCCCGCTCGAGGAGGATCTCGCGCAGCTTGGGTGCTCCCGGGATCAGGTCCGCCTCTATCGGCACCTCCTCGCCATCCTGACACTGAATATGATGCACAGGCAACACGACGGGAGCACAGCCAACGCGTCTTGTTATGCCGCTGTTCTGTTGCCGCATCGCTCGCTGTCTGTCGTGGTGTGTGCGACCACCGTGTGTGTGGCTCCCTCACTCACCCGTACGGTGGTGATGCCTATCACCTTGAGAGTGGTGTTTGTGATCGCTCCGATGTCCATCGCCACCAGCTACTGCATCACCTGCACCCAACCAGACACGCGAGAAGGGAGGGCATGAGAGGCGGGGACGACCGACTGACCACACAAGGGCGGCGTCTTACCCTCTACTGCTTCCGCAGCTTCCCGACACACGAGTACTCGAAAGCGCCGCTGACGTCGACAGCTTCGGTCAAAAAACTGAATCTGAATGCGCTTCGGCGTGTCACAGGGAGCCAAGAAAAGCTCCACAAAGTGCCAAATGGCTTTCGAAAGCTCGCTTCCGATTGCGAGCTCTCGGCCATCTGCGAGCCTAGCCTTGAGACCTTTTCTTTTGGACCTTCTCCCCGTCAGGGCAGCCATCCTGTATGTGGATGAGCTAGCCACTTCTGCGGGGCGAGAATCGTTCTGCCGATATCATGCAGAGCTACAAGAAGATGGAGGAGGCTCAGCCTGAAGACGAGGAGGCGGGCCTGATGATGGACAACGGAACCCAGCCTGTGGGGGCAAATGGCACACACCCGCGGCCGCCACACATGGAAATGGACAGGGCGCCGCTCTTCGGGCCCTTCGTCGTGGCAGGTGAGGTGCGGTCACAAAGGAGGAGGAGAGGAGCAATGCAAGGATGACCATGTGTGCATGCAGATGCCTCCCTGGCCTCTGACAACGCCCCGCGCGAAGACTACAGCTGCGTGACGCGCTGCGTGACTGTCTCGCAGGCCTTAGCGTCCCTGAGTGGCGTGCTGGTGGGTATTCTGGCGGTGTCGCTGCACCCTGAGCTCATGCAGGTGAATCCGTGGGTCTTCTGGTACATCATCGCCACCTTGCTGCTGGAGATCCTGCTGCTGCTCGTGGCGGGGGTGTGTGTGCTGTGTCTGCGGGTGACCCTCGGCCGTCGCGCGGTGGTGTATTCGGCGGCGGTGTGTGGGCTGTGGGTCAACTACATCGGTGGCGTCAGCTCCTGGGTGAGTGCCGGCTTCGGCGTGTACATCATCGTCTACCACCTCAACACGCCCCTGCCTTTGCTGGCGGAGATCTACCTGTGTCTGGAGGTGGGGCTCTCCCTCTTCCTCAGCGCCCAGTGCTGCGAGATCGCCTCCAAGATCGTGGGGTACCTCATCCACAAGCTCGAGGCCAAGCTGTCCCGGCGGCCCGAGGTGACGTTCCAGTCGATGGAGCTGCCCGTCTACTACACCAACCTGCGGCAGGTCGACCAAGCCCTCTCGTCGATGGAGCACCCCACGAGGTCACCCAGACTGCCCAAGGGGGGCGAGGCGGGCACTAAGAGGGAGAGAGAAAGGGGTGGTGGCGTCGCTGCACCAGAGGCTGGTGGTAGTGCTGTGGCTGTGGCTGCTGATGGTGCAGAGGGGAAAGGGGAACAGCCGAGTGTCTGAGGGGAGGGAGAGAGAGAAAGAGAGGAGGGCTGCATGCCTGTGTGTCTAGATGCATGGGTTGGTGCTTTATCAGTGAGTGCTTTATTCTATCAGTGACGACGTCTGCCGCATGAATGAGACGAACACACGGTCGCAACCCAAACCCACTCATCTCGCCTCAAGCTCGCACATATTTGCCGCAAATAGGCGTAGAGCTCACTCGCCTCATCTCCAGCCTTCAGGACCCACCCGCTTTTGATGCTGATCTCCCTGACCGCCGGCGGATCTATCCCATGACCCCACTGCTGGCGTTGTGATGGAGCATGGCACGTCAGAAGAGAGCATCATGAGTGCAGGGAGCGGCATCCACAATGCCTCCTCCTCTTCAGAGCTGCCCACCGCCGCCGGCAGCACCTCCAGCGACGCCCCACCCAGCTCTCCCCAGGCAACGGGCAAGAGGAGCCGGTTCGACTGGCCGGTGGACGAGAACGACAAGGCCACCGTCATCAAGCTGTGGCCCTGGACCATCGGCAGGTCCAAGCTCAGAAACCCACATGCCAGGGGCTTCTGGTGCTCGTGGATCACCTTCTTCGTCGCTTTCCTGGGCTGGTCAGTGAGTGGGTGAAGGCACTGGAGGGATGGATCGATGGATCTATCTATGTGTGTCATTCAATTTCCTTGGCTCAGGTTTGCTTTTGCGCCCTTGATGCCCGAGGTCCGAAAGCACATCGGCCTGTGCGACTCCCTCACCGAGGACGGCAGCTGTGTGTGCGGCCCGTCGTGTCAGAGCACCATCCAGTCGTCCCACATCTGCTCCATCGCCGGCACCATCCTGATGCGAATCGCCTCGGGATACTTCCTCGAGCGCTTCGGCCCCCGCCGCGTCAATGTGGCCTTCCTGACGCTGTTCTCGGTGCCGGTGTTTTTGTCGACTCTCGTGGCGAACGGGCCGGGGCTGATCGCTACTCGCTTCTTCATCGGCTTCGTGGGCGCCACCTTCGTCACGGGGCAGTTTTGGTGCACGCTGCTCTTCGCCCCGAATGTCGTCGGGACGGCTAATGCTACGGGTACATACGCCAAACACAACACAACACAAGCAGTGGAAGCACCGCACCCACACAAATCGGCTGCTTTGCACATCCACCTCTCTCTCTCTCTCTCTCTCTCTGTGTGTGTGTGTGTGGGTGGGTGGGTGGGTGGGTGCGTGGGTGGGTGGACGGATGGGTCAGCTGCTGGTTGGGGGAACTTAGGTGGCGGCGTGACTCAGTTCCTGATGACGGGTCTGTTCAACGGTTTTGTGGCGGCGGGGCTGCATGAGGATACGGCCTGGCGCGTGTCGATGCTCGTGCCTGCCACGCTCTACTGGATCGTGGCGGCCGTTATGTGGTTCGGCGCCCAGGACACTCCCAACGGCACCTTCCACGCCGCCATGCTCGGCAAGAGCAAAACCAGCATCTATAACTACATCGAGTGAGTCGAGTCAGCCACACACACACATGGGCGTGAGGTGACGTGTTGCGTGGAAGTGTATGTGTCTGTCTGTCTGTCGTTGTGTGGGTGTGTCTGTCTGTTAGGTGTCTGAGTGACTACCGGATCGTGTTGATGATAGTGCACTATGCGGCGTGTTTCGGGACGGAGATCACCATGTACAATCAGCTGCCCCTCTACTTCTTCGACCACTTCGGGCTCTCCCTCTCGCAAGCCTCGGGGGCTGCCGCCGCATTCGGACTCATCAACACTTTCGCCAGAACACTCGTGAGCTCTGGAGACAACCCCCACCCCCACGCACACAGACACTCTGTGTATATGTGTGTGTGTGTGTGTGTGTCAGGGAGGTCTGTTGAGCGATCGTTGCTACCGACACTACCACATCCAGGGGCGGCTGTGGGCTCACTTCGCGTGTATCCTGCTAGAGGGGCTGACGCTGGTGATGTTCGGCTTCATGCGGTCGCTGGGCGGCGCCATCGCCATCCTCTGCCTGTTCTCCATTTTCGTGCAGGTAGGTACCAGTGCAGTGAGCGGCAGACACACACAACCATCCATCCATCCATCCATTGGCCGACCCCCGTGTGCGTGGTTGTGTTGTGTTGTGCACATCATCAGATGTCAGAGGGCACCACCTACTCGATCGTGCCCTTCATGTCCTACCGCAACCTCGGCATCGTCACAGCCATCGTCGGAGCGGTCAAACAGACAAAACACACTTGACACACACATTGACCATCCGCTCTCACCCTGCCTCACTCACTCCTGTCTCTCGACCGACGTTCAGGGCGGCAATGTGGGTGCGGTTGCGTGGGGCTTCATCTACAAGGACAACCAGTCGGCCCCCAACGTCGCCTACCAGGTCCACGGCGGCGCTGTCATGGCCATAGCGCTCACGGCCTTCCTCATCTACTGGCCACACTTCGGCAGCATGCTACACAGACCCAAAGAGGGGCTCGCTCTGCCACCAGGGGCGGGGGGGAGGAACACCTACGGCCACGCCAAGACCAAGCCCAAGGGCTCGCCCCCCGCCAGGACCCCCAAGACCGTCATACCGCCGACCGTCGAGGCAGACGCGCAGACCGACCCCGCCTCGCCCCGGCTGAGCATCACGGGCTTCAACGGCAGTGCGTCGTGGAGCACAGCCGATGGCGGCATGAACGGCCAGCAGCAGCTCCAACAAGTGGTGAATGGGGGGCCGGCTGCTATTGGTGTTGGTGTGTTGCCCGAGGCGCCGCCGCCGGTAGTGTGGAAGATGCCGTCGGTGCGGAGCAGCCAGAAGCTGGAGACCATCCCTGAGACGGAGTCGCAAGTGTGAGGGAGGGGCGCGTGTGCATCACATCACGTCACGTCAGCGATGATCTTTGTATCCTCGTGTCGGCGGGGCGGCTCGCCCCCCCTCTCACACGTGCGGCGTCCGGTGGGGGGTGGGGGGAGAGGGAGTTGGGGGGGGAGGGCACATGTGTTGAAGTGATTGAGGTGGATGAACGGGATGTGGTGTGTTGGTTTTGTCTTTTTTGTCGTGTCGTGTTTCGTGTGTCTGTGTGTGTGCGTTATTGCTCATGCGACTGTGTGGCATGACGTGGGGTGGCATCCATCCATCAATATCAATAATACCATACCGGCAGGCAGGCAGGCAGTTTCAATGCTTTATCCTTCCTTCCCCCGTCCGTCCGTCCCTCTGCTCACTGACTGCTCACTTTTTTTCTCTCCTTCCCTTCCCCCTCACGTCACGTCAGGTCGCCTCCCGTCCTACCTACCGCCCCACCGCCCACTAAGATGTTTTTATCCTGCTGCATGGGGTGGCCATTCCATGTCATGTCGTGTCGTGTCGTGCACACAGAGAGGTGGGCTGGGCTGCCTCCGAATGCAGGCAGCGTGGTGGACGGATGCATAAGTCACCTAAGTGTGTGTGGGCACTCACTGGCGTGGTTGTGTGTCGCTTTCTGTGGGGTGGCATGCCATTGACCTCTTGTACAGATCGCAAAGGATGGGGG